TCCTGCAAAACAGAAGAATTTTCAGTTCAAGACATCCCAGCTGCTTTTTTTATAACTGCTCAACATTTAAAAAAAAAAAAAAAAAGGCCACACACATAACGGAGAATTCCCTACCATAAAGGTACCAAAACCAAAAGATAAAAATAAAGAACTGCATCAGCATGGTGAATCATATCTCCTCCCAATTAGCAGAGATAAAACAAAAGGCACAAGGAGTTTAATTTTGAAAGCGAATCTACTCATAAGGTCAAGCACATCCTTCGAACTAAAAATTAATGTGAATAATTTTTCACAACAAGGCAAAAAAGATGATGATGATGATGATGACCATCATCATCATCAGCGAAATCACAACTAACCCACCACTACTGAGATTAGCCTCGTGGCACACTAAAACATCCTAGATTATCAACCATGAGTGAACAAACAAATTACGCAATCATATAAGCATAAAGAAAAAGAACGCAGTTAGCAGTGTCAGTATACACTGTTGTTAGCCGCAGCAGCCACCAATAGCAAATACTAGACGACGACGACGAAAATTTATAAAATAATTTCCATTGAGAAGTTTAATCAACTGAGTAAACTTATTAGGATTTGCAGAACCTTCAGCACTAGCTCAAGCTTCGGTCCAGTTACTTTCCGGGCCATGAAATAAATGCTAATGGTGCCACCGACCGCCCCTTTCTTAAACAAACAGACACCTAGAAGTGCAAAATACATAATCACACCTTATAGACTAATTTATATCCTCAGTTTCACTAGCTGACTTGAACCAGATCTACATGAATAAGGTGAGCAATAAAAAACCTGGGACACAATATGCAGTAAAGAAAAGAAACAAACAAACAAACAAGATAAATAAGGTGAAGCAAACCTGTGGGAACATCTCCCAATTGCTTAAGACCCTCCGGGTTGGGAGCATCTTGAATATCACCCCCAGCACCAAGCCCATCCATATCTATAAGCAGTACAGCATAAAAACCATGATGGAAGAAAACCCAGAAAAGGGAAAACGCAAAAGATCAACAAGAAAAGAAAAAGGAATGCTAAAAGGGAAAACTTGATACAAAAAGATAAAATCTTGAATTGCTCAAAATGTTTTAACTAAAATGGCGAGGAAGCAAAGACAAAAAGGAGATCTGGACAAAGAATTGAGTACATTAGTTCATAGCAGAGATCTATCCCACCGGAAGGATTATAAAATGGGTTGGATTTGGAGCAGAGAGGAGAGGAACGGATTGGAGAGGAACCCTACGAAAGCAGATATTGAAATTGATCGTAATTTATTAGCCGAGTGAATTATGGAGGAGGTCGCGTCCGAACTTCATTTTCCCCTCACCGGAGATTTGTAAATTTTTATGGGGGCTAAGTTGTAAATTCGCATCTCAGCTTTGTCAAGCATGCGCGTATGTATACCATCATTCTCCAATTTCTTCCCACCGGAGCACATGAGCAGCCAGATTTTTGTGGGAAAAAACAAATTTTAAATTTTTTTTAAAATTTTATTTTGATTTATATTCTGGTAAGGCAAGGAAAAAAGGAAAATTCTTATCATTTTTAATTTTGTCATTCATGTTGTTAAACTGTATGAGTTTTTTTAAAATATACACAATGCTTTATGCAAAAATGTATTATTAATTTTGAAAGTTTGTCTTTATCAATTGTTATTTCCAGAATAAAACCACTGTGACAAATGACATGTAATAAAGTTTTCAAATTGATGTCTTTTTGAGTTATCAACTTATCTAAAATTTGAGAGAAATATATATAATAAAATATATAAGAATTAATATATATTTGGTCTTTAAAATTTATTCTTAATTTTAGTCCATCAAATTTTAAATCACAAGTTTTGATCTATTAAAAGGTATAATAATCCAAATTTTTACTGAATTATAGGGACTAATATTATAAATAAATAAAAATTTTGTGAGACCAAAACTTAAAAAACTAAAAACCAAAATAAAAACAAACTTAAAAAATTAAAGTTCATATTAGTCCAATATATAATAACAATAGAAAAACTAATTAATTAAAATCGAGTACTTTATTTGTTGAAAAATCCAAAATCAATAAATATTTTATTTCTTCCTAAAGTAAACCTCAATAAAATATGTTGTGACTTAAAAAAAAAAAAGTATACACTGCCTGGAGTTTGAAATAAGTCATATTATTTTGGGCAGCCAAAATTACCCATCTGACCTCATACAACTTCTATTCCCGCTCTTGGCATATTATTCTCTCCAGCGCGTTTTATCCCAACAAATTAGTTTATTTCCGCACCAAATTTTAAAATTCGCAATCCCAAGCTATCGTTTATATGATTGACGCGTGTCCTAACTTTTTTTCATTATTTTATCCTAGCGTTCTCATCCACATTCCATGATTAATCACAGCAATTTCATTACAAATCTTCTCATAACTTCCGAAAACAACACATGAATATAAAATATATGAGATTCAATAAGTAAAATTTAAATATATAAAACTCACTTAAATTTGTAAGACTTAATTTATAAACTTAATTTATAAATCTTACAGTTGGCTGGAACAAAAAATTATAAATCTCTCCTACTTTGAGTTTGTCTTACTTGAAATGAACTTAAAATAAAAATGATAAATAAAAAATTCCAATTTCAATAGCAAGGGCACATGTGTGTATGTTATAGGGCATCCATAGATTCATTTGTCAAGTTTATAAGAATTTATATAAAGATTTTATTTTTAATTTTTTTCAATTTTTATCATAACTTTCTTCGTAAAAAATTATGATCCCTTGGCCTAGCCTTATTAGGTCGACTTGGCAGTTGCTCTCATAATCATCATATCCTAATATAATGTATTTTGATTCTTTTCATTCCCTCCTGTTTTATTCACAGTTATTCATAAAAAAAAAAAAAGGAAGCAAGCTATTAACAACTTAAGATTACAAATAAATTGAACTCATAATTTCTTACATGTCAAAAGTTTCTTGTGTCATTAAATCACAAAAATCAAACTCAATAATTACACTGTCAATAAATTAGAATAAAAATAAAAGAAAAGGAGTGAGTGATAGAATGAAAAATATTAATGGTAATGACAGTGGGTTGCTATATGGGAAAGGTTTTAGACAATTTATCTTACCTCAGATTTCCAATGATAATATTTATAGTTCGTTGCTTATATTTAAATTTTGCTGCTCACCTTTTTCAAAGTCTCACAGAACTTTCCAATATGTGTGTGTAAGAATAAACACATATATGTGTGTGTGTGTGTGTGTAAAATCCGAAGATCCAAGATTCTAGCCATAAAAGTAAGGAGTTTGTCTAGCCAATTGCGAAAAGTGTAGGCCTTTGAAGGCATTGCACGAAAACGTTCACAAATATTTATTCTCTCTGGAGGGGGGGAAGGGATCATGCGAAGTGTTTAGGTGACTAGCTCTTGTATAATGGGTTAGTCGTTGACCTTGAATCTAGACCCTGAGCAGAAAATGAATAGACTGTCATTTTAAAAATAAGTAAATACTAGCCCATATTTTTAATATAAAAGCTAATTTGTCTTTAAATTTGGGTCTAAATATAAAAACTCTAATTTATTTTATTTTTATATTTATGTTTTTTAAAGTAGTCGTTACATGTGTTAAAGGTTTCATTAAATGATAATTCTAACTAATACACTTTATTAGTAAGAATATTTTAGAGAAGGCAATATATATTTATTACAAATAACTAATTTAGCTAATTTTCTTAATAAAGAAGAGTGGAATGATCCGCATTACGAGCCACATGTTTCTGGTGAGAAGTTTAAATAACGAGTTGAAAGAGTTGATGGTTGAAATTTATTAACAAGTTACTCCTCCAATTATTAATATAAGACCTAATTAAGTAATTTGGGTAAATCAAAGAGTTTAGTTAAATTAGTTAATATGATATTTTTTTTTAAAACATCCTAACCATTTTTCTTAATTCTTCTCTCTCTCTTTTACTTGATTATTATTGAAGAAATATTAATATGATTAATTTGAAAAAAATTGATAAACATGTAAAATAAATTTTATATATCAGAGCAACATTAGCTCTCAAATTAGATCATACATTAAAGACCAAACAAGTATTAACCTATTATGAATATGTTAACCTGTGATAAAAGGGCACTCCCTACATTTGGATAGATTTGATTTTGGACTAAAAACCAAATCGATATGATGGGATTTTATGACACCGAAAACTTCTATTTATTATTGAACTTTGGTTTGGTTTAGTATAAGAGGTGTTTCGGTAAAAACAAATTATAATTTAAGTAATTTTATAATATACTAAGGAAGTGTTTGGATAATTAAAACCATAGTTTTAAAAATGTTTTTATGGTGTACAAAATAAATATGTAAAAAAAATTGCCTCATTTTATGAAAAAAATGATTTTAAAAAGCACTTTTGGATGCTTCCAAACACCCACCCCAAGTAAGTATCTAAAAAGAATTTTACCCCTATTTACATGAAAGCACTTTTTACAGGTGTTTTTTTAGAACTTCCAAACACTCCTTTAATGTCAGTTTGATTCTATTCATTTTTCATGAATTTATTTTTTTATATCATTTTTATTAAATATATTATAAATAATTTGGTCAATGCTTCACCCGACTATAAGGTAAAAAATATTAACCTCAAGGACATGTAAGCGGGATAAATTATCGCAAGCAACGTACGCTTCATTTTAATAAATCAAACCAAGTGAAACCTTCAACCAAATTAATTATATTGATTTTGACATGTAAGAATCCAATCTTGGCTTTATTTGGTTCTCATAAATTCTAGTCATGTCTAGAAGACCTAATACTTGGAAGATTTTCTATGGATTTAAAGTCAACACCGAATAATACGCAGTAGCAATTCAAAGGAAATAGAACTCTTGCAGTCCATGCAATAAATGATAGAACTCAAGAAGTCAAAAGTCGCCATATCCTCAATAAAGGTCAGGAACAAACCAGAACAGGATTAAAAAAAAAAATTTACGTGTTTGATGGCACCAAATACAAGTAATAATGCTCATAGCTGACCAAGGTAAAAATCAGTCGAGACTATATCAAAGATATTGAAGAAAACCCAACAATGAGACAGCAAGACGGATCAATGGAGTCAGACCAACAAAGAATAGGTTGCAAGAAGAAAATAACAAGGGCACCATATTATGAACCAAGTTCCCAAAAAAAAAAAAAGTACATTCTTTGCTACAGCATTCATCAGCAGTTCAGAAAAGCTTGTCATGCCAACCTGTCGTCTGGTTGTAGTTGTGCACCCAAAAAGCCACTTCAATTAAGAGGGTGGGTTTCCTACACAGGTAAGCATTCATGCAACCAATCCCATGCCTTTGTATGATAATAGTAAAAGGAACATGGGAATCCAACTTCATAAGCCTAAAACTTGTTCCAACTTCATAAGCCTAAAACTTGTACATATTAACCACTACAGTGCTCTAGAAACCAGAGTAAAAAAATTAATCTCCCCTGTCAAGAGAAAAATAAAAGACAAGAGAAACAAATCAAGCCAACTCTATGATACAGATGGGCCTGGCTGCAAAATATCACAATGCTCCACGGAATTCTGTCAATATAACAAAATAAGAGGCTAAAATTTCCATAATAGATGCAACTAATGCTTCCACCACATCAGACTGCTACAGAAGTACCTAATACGAGATCCTCCCTATGGCAGTTACTGCCACATTTTAATTCAAAATCATGCTCCTTATTTGAATGTCCGAGTACATTATTAATTCAAAACTGACTCTGAGTGCGCATGACCACTGCTAGCCCCAGAATTGTTATTAAATCCGGCAACGGGCACAGAACGTTGAGCAAACTCGAGTAATTGCTTTTTCTGGTGCTCGTTGGTGTGAGGTAGACTGGCACGTAAGAGCTCAACAGGCATTTCCTTACTAACGGCTCTGGTAGCATCTGACCCAATCGCAGCCATATTTGGTGTCCCTTGCATCAGCAATGATTGCACAATACTATCATATTTGTTCATGCAATACTTCGTAAGAAGAGAAAAGAAATCATCAAATGAAGCCTGCCAAAGCAACCGATTTGACATACTACAGTTGCTGGCAGCATGGCGATCAGTTAAAATTTCAGTGGCCCTCTCAAGCAAAGACACTAAAACTACAGAAGCCCCATCACCAGCAGGGCTTCCCAAGGGACGTAGAGGGGGCTGCTCCGAGGAGCAAACTACTGCTGCAAGACAAGCACTAAGTGCTCCAAGATCCATTCCACGGACACACATTGAAACAACCCCAGCAAGGTTACTTACAGCTTCTGCTGCCGCTGGGTCAGTTGGATAACGACCAAATAAAAACCTTAAATGACGAAAGATAGCCATGCAGACCATTCGCATAAGCTCACCACCTGAAAAAAGACATTTAAGGTACCTAGCAAGAAGCTTCCATCCCTTGGGTAGAGATGCTATCCTCAGGAAAACAAAATCATCTTTTGCAGCAAGACCAACAGTATGCCCATTCTTTCCCAGCGGGTCAACTAAATGAAGTGAGGCAGCAAGTCCTTCCAACAGATCCTTTCGACGCTGCTTCAACTGAATTCCACCATCTTGGAGCTGATTAAACTGTAGGAAACGATCAATATCATCTACATCAAGAAGAAGACATAATCCATCCTCAATGGTAACCCTAGCTGCAAGCATTGGCTCCTGCTCAAGGGGTTTCTCCGGAATGTTTTGCTCAGTGCTACTAGCAGAAGAATTTGGAGGATCAACTTCCAAAAGAGGACGGGGCCTGCGAATTGATGAAAATGGAACTCTCCCTAGGGCATCAACCTGAAGAAAAGCATGAGGCTCAGTATTAGCACGGGCTCGTGGAGGGAGTTCCCTGATTTGATTTGGACAGAAGTGGTGCTTCAATTTAGCATTAGAGGACTTTTTTGCAAGACAAGCCTGGTGATAATAATCATCTACATAGGGGTCATTACTATGTGTTGCCGCAAGCTGCATCCTAAGAATATTTTCAATCTCATCTGTTGTCATATACTTGGACCTAAATTGTGGCCATCCGCTTTCACTCCTCTGGAAACCCATATCAAAATTTTGTGGAGGAAACCGAAAGTTCTGTCTAATTTTCGGAGCTAGCTTTGGTCTTTGATCTCTCATGTCGATCAGCCCAAGCATCTGTTCATACTTGCCAATCATGGGCGCACCAGGAGAAGTATTGGAATTATAAGAATGGGGTGGGAAACCTGATAAAAAGCCCGGAGAATGTTGAAGAGGAGGATGCATTCTCTGCTGTGGTTGCTGCAACTGAGTCACCAGATGTGGAGGAATTGATCCATTATGAAGGGGCAACTGTTGAGGCAATAAATTGTTCCGAACGTTGGGAGGATCTCCAGGATATAATCCAACTTGGTTGACCCATTGGTTGGACATTCGATTATTAACAGGAGAACCACTCGTAATCTGATGCATATTCCCACCAAAAGGGGATCCAGCTAAGCCAGTCAATGGAATCTGAGAATTGGAGAAATGAGAATGATTGGACGAAGACAATGGCATCTGAGATCCACCAACGTGATAGGGCATATTCAGGTGGCCTGCACTCTGATTTGGAGAATCCTGCTGGATCCTGCCACCAGAATGAGGATAAGAAGATTTTGGAACCAAAATTGGTTCACTAGAAAAATGCTGATGTTGTTGTTGCAGCTGCTGTTGTTGCTCGGGATATGAAGATGTTCTGTATATTGACTTTGACTCTTGTAACTGAACCAACGAATGTGGTTGTGATGACCATCTTTTCCCATCCTGAGCACCTTCGCTTTCATAATCATGCTGATCAAACCAATTAGACACATCGCCCCTTTGTGCCCATTCAGCAGCAGAGGAATCTAAATAAAACAATCCAAGAGTAATAATAAAGAATTCAGTCGAGAAATGCAGACAGCAGAAGGATCAGTACGCATTCCCAAAACAAAGAAGAAACATACATCTCATTCAAGCCCCAAAAGCGTGGCATAACCAAATAGAACATACTTACTTTAATGGAGTAGAATATTCAAATGCAGCAATATGAGCATTTCTCCCACACACATAGTAGCAGCAACACTATTTTGAGCTTATACAATCAGAGAACAAAAACTCACATGCAGCTTAAACCCCATAAAATAATTATTTTTTTGAAAAAAAGAAACTCGCACAACAGAAGGGAAGTGATGCATATTGAAGGAAGACACTGATACGTAGTCGGAGGTCAGTGCCCCAGCACTAATAACACGCATAATGAAGACAGAACCCAATAATGAAGATAACAATATTTCATAAATAGAGGATAACAATATTCACACTAGATGACAACAGTGGACATCTATTCCTTATAGATTTGATAGGGTAAAAAGAGAAGTTTGCGTATGTTTGAAATGATATTCATTTAATAGTTTTACTCACTTTCTCTTGATACTTGTTCACCCATAAGTCCCATGCTTCTTGTTCCACTAGCAACCGTGTTCAACTGAAATGAGACAACAATCTTACAATTGAATGCCACCCACCGCATAAAAGAAAGTGTACAGCAAGTCAAAACAAGCCAAACTTCATCATCTACATTATAACAAACAACTAAACCACAAGCATTAATGGAAACCATGCAGCAGCTTCAAAAAAATCTAAGTATTTGATGACAAGGATGCATGATTAATTAGCATATATATTTTCCCTTCTGAGAATTGTTCTAAGCCGTCATTTTCTTCCTGTTTCTTTTCTCCCTTTTTCAGTGGATAAAAGGCTTCTTGAAGAAAAATACATAACCAGACAAGCAGCAACTGGAGGAGACTGGCAACCAGATGGATAAAATGTAGACGAATAAATTCTATGGTATTCCTTCAGCAATTAACATATTGTTCACTAGCTCAAGACAGTTATCTTGAAATCCTATTCTTCATTAATCATTTTACAGAAGCATAAGGCCCCATATCTCCAGCTCAAAAATATCTTCCAGTGACTGATGTTTGAAATCAAGGCGTATGAGACCACGTATCACAAGTTGAAGGCTGCTTCTCATAATTTTCTCCCACATCATCCAGGAATGCGGCATTGTAAAAGATATTCTATGTCCAGGCCATTATCTCCAACATGAGGGAGAAAACAAAAATAAAACACTGCTAGAACTACAACTCAGAGACTCTTGGCAAGGAAATTTACAATTTGAGAACTCAACCTAAATTGTGGTTAATGACTCAAACCACATGCTTAACTGATTGCTCCTTTGCTCAACTTTCTCAAATCGAATGTCTTTGCCAAGACTTCTAAAATTATAAGCTTCCCTCAATACTCCCAGTTTTCAACCAGAGGTCTGATTTTTTAAAATATGATACTGGCCATAAAATAGTTTTCCACTTCTACAAGAAGACATCATTTCTTAGCATTGCTTTATCTGATTCAGTTTCCATGTATAGCCATCTGAAACTCATCTACCTATTCAGCAACAGGAGGAAATAATATTATCACCAATGTCTTAAACATGGACTGAGTTATGAGGCATATTGGTTAGGCATCAAATCACTGTCACATGATACTACACTTTCATGCTCATTAATTTGAAAATGAAATAAAAAATGCGACAATTTACTTTTGAAAAAGGCCTGATATGACAGTGATTGAAAATCTAACCTTTGAAAACGTGGTAGTGAGATCATCAACATCTGAAAGAGATCTCATTTCTTCAGCCTGCATCATGAAATAAGAGGTACTTGAGAAAAACTAACCTCATAAATCACATTCAAAAATATTTCATTTTAAATGAGAAATAAACATTCACGAGAAAACAAACACTGTCATTTTCCCATCCAAATAAGCAAGATTCCTTTTCAATTTCAATTTCCAATCCAAATATATTATTCAACCAAATACATGTCAGATAAATAGCTCCTCAACAAAAAATGCAACAGCTAACCTATATTCAATGAACAGCATTAGCAAGGGCAAATGGATGGGGAATTATAGAACCAAAACGTAACAATTACCAAAAGCAACTAAAGTTCATTTTTGTGGAGACAAAATTTATTGATAAAGCGAACAAACTCCACAAGTGAGGTGTAAAAACACAAAGGACCAGAAGCATATGACCCTTGCACAGGAATGAACAAAATGAATAGTTGGAAATTCAAGAATTTTTTTGGGACACCATTCATTTATTAATTAAATGAAAATAGGCAAAAGTTTGTTTTCAGAGGCAAAAAGTGCATACTCAGAGTGAACGTTTCATATTATGTACTAGGGAATAGTCATCTTATGACTTATCACAAGAAAATCACATAAATCCCGAGATTGAATATTTCATATTATAATAATCTACTCTGAAGAGGGAGGCAAATGAGGTAAAGGAGGAACATTAGCAGATTAACAAAAACATGAAGCAAGAATTAATATGATGCATTAAACTCTTACAATAAATGGAACAAATGTAGAACCCTTAACCAAAAAAGAAAATTAAATCATGCGTCAATTTTACACATCCAAACTTTCCCCCCCCCCCCCAAAAAAAAAAAGCCCAAATGTATCAACCACGGTAACTTGAATAGATGGAACCCAGATAAAAATAAATAAACATGTACCTCTTCTCTTCCGAAAAAAATTTCCTCCTCCTCATCAAATTCAACAGGAGGTAAATCACGTTCTTCATCTTCTAATCCCCCCAACTCAACTTCCTCAACAACATCTTTCCCAAAGAAGGCATATTGTGACGCATCAAATACTGCATCTCCTGCATCATACAAGAGTTCAAGACAGTAATCACACTACTATTTTTTTTTTCAGATGATTAGCATATGCACAGCTTCTACATGCACACGAAGCTTCGAAGAGCCAAATTTATATAGAGGTAATAGATAGTAAGATAAATTAGAATATTCTCAGGAAGAGAACTACTACAAAAGCTGGCAAGCCAAAGATGTTCTAGTTGAGCACGAAGAATTTTAATGCTGAGCGTCAATCAATCCTATAGTAATACTCAGAAAAACATTTGGCCGAAAATATAAGTACAAAAATCTCTTTACGCCAGAAATAGCATTTGAAATCCACAGAATTTTCCATGAAGAAGAGTCTCTGGAGTACTCTTTAAACCATAAATTATGTCATAGTCATGCTAGAAGTTCTTTCATGATCATAACAGTGAATAAGCAAGCTGACACAACTCGGGAAACGGGGGGGTCGAGCAACTTAAAGCAGGTTGTCTTTTGCCGAGGTAGCTAATCATAGCAAGCAGTTAAATTGGTCATGAGCATTCATAAAATCGTTCGATTTTAGACACTAAAGTCAATAAAAACAAGCAAACAAAATTCTGTTAAGCAGCAGAAGTCCTGTATCGGACTTAAAATGCTCTACACGTCAAATAATTTGTCACTTCGAAGTTATAACATTGTCCATCAAGCAGCTAACGAGATAGGAAGCATAAATTCACCAATTAAATATATTCTTTTCTTTCGTTTTCTCAAAATTCAAATAGCAGATAGCTTACCAGATCTAACTAAATAGATAAGCAGAAATCAAGTAAAAAAAGCCAATAAAACTGAAGCAAACCTGCAGGTATGTCTCCAAGTTGCTTAAGATTCTGTGGGGTGGGAGCATCTTGAATATCACTCCCAGCACCAAACCCATCCATTTTCACCAATACTATACGGTAAAAGATAAACAATCAATCGCCAAAAAAAAAAAAAACAAAGCCCAGAAACCAGAATCGCAACAGATGAAAAAAATTGACTTCAAAGTCTCAAGGTGAATCGATAAGGCAAGCAAATTATTCAGAAATTCACAAAAGGGTTCTTCTGCTAAGACGGTATCGAAACAGAGTAAAAGATCTCAGAAACAGATTGAGTGGGGAAGTTAAAGGCAGAGATTTGTTCCATTAAAAAATAGAAAAAGGGTTCGGATTTAAAGGAAGAGGCATATAGAGGAGAACCCTAGGAAGGGGATAACGATTGAGATTTGCAAAATATGAGGTAACAAAGGAAGTGGAGAAGAGTTGCGAGAGAGAGAGAGAAGACGAGGAGACTATTATTATTTCGTAAAATAATTTAAAGTTGAGGAAGTTCCCAAACACTCCAGTTACTTCTGAGTTGGTGGATTTGTTGAAGAAGGAGCGACGGAGGCAACCATGTACTCGATAGATGATGTATACTACTACCCATCAAAATTGATATTGAATATTCGATCTATTATCAATTATGAACAATTGGTAGGGTTTCGTGCACACGTATAGGCATAGCAGTTAACTTCAATTGCTTGGGATTAAATAAAATCTATCACTTGTTCTGCTTTCCTGGTTGGAAAAAAATAGGATGGGCAATAAGATTTAAAAAGAAAAAAGAAATATTACAATGGAAAATCAACCACAATAAAATTTTGTTAAACTTGTCAAAATTGTTTTCCAAACATACTAATATTTGTTAAATTTGTTATTGCATAGCAAATTTGTGGTAGCTTTTTCTAGCTATAAAGTTTGTTAGATTATAAGTACACTCTTATAATACTATGTCAGATTCAAAATATAAATCAAACTTTCTTAAAATAATTTTTTTTATAAGATAACATTTACTTTTATCCAAGCATTTAATGAGTTTTTTCTAATTTTATCTCTATATATTCTCTTTCTTTTTTAATTCGTTTATTACATTTTTTTATTTATTCTCTTCATTAATAAGAGTATATTAGGAAAAACAAATATATGTCTTACACATTTATTGTTTTGAATTGATTTTAATTAGTTTCTTAATAAACTTAAATTGATAAAGTTTAGTTTATATTTTGAACTGGAGAGAGTACTATTTATAAGTCATGTTTCAGCAAATGTTTTATTAAAATGTAAAAAGACTTTAAACCTTATTAATTATATCTTAAAATTTTAAAAACTTTTTCACTTTACCCACATCTAACTAACCATACACTTTTTTTTTTAAAAAAAAAAGTGTACTAATGTATGAATTAGGAGAAAAACTTCTCTCAGGATCAAAGTTTTACTTACACTATCATCATTTGTATACGTAAACTACTTTTTCAGTTGCTACATTGTACTTAAAAATTAGCGACGTGTTTCACAACATACACTGTGATATAAAGAATTATAACGTACTACTATTGCCTTTATAAAGGTGTTCTATAATATTGAGGATAATAGTTATATCAAGTTTTTTTATCACTATAATATCAAACTATTGAATAAGTAATCTGGTTTAAGTTTCGCCCAAATGCCTACTTCACAGTTCACATGAATACCAAGTTCTGTACAAATTATCCAAACTACAATTTTTTTTTTCTGTCCAAAATGTTGACTGTGTAGAATGAAGTAAAATTACATTAATTAAATGAAAAGGTGCAGTTTAAAAAAAAAAAGAGAGAGAGAGTCAATTTTAATACATCTTTAACAGGATTAATGGGTCTTAACTAAATTAATTAACATCCCTTTCTACTATTAAATATAAGTTATTTTTAACTAGTTAGCATATACTAATAAAAACAGTTAAAAATTAATTTTTTTTAATAAAATTCAAGTGATTTATAATATCTTCATTTTTAACTATAGTAAAGTTCAATGTCATATTTTCTTTTATTACCATATCATATTAATTTATACTCTCTTATTCTTACCCTTAATATTTAAGATATGCTCCATATATATAGGATTGAACATTGAGGGAAGCACGCATGAGGCGGCTGACCAAGAATAAATGCTACTGATAGTTAAAGCAGCTTCACTGCACTCTCCCCTTTAGCGAGAGGGCATCTCTCCTCTCAGCTCCTTCGGGTGTAAGTTATTCTACAACTCGCAGGGCCAAGCATATCTAAAAGCGAGATAACTTTAAAATACAGCTAAATATAAGAAAGATGTTATGACTAACTGATTTATATTACCCCCTGTAACTTGAGTATACTAAAAAAATTTATTAAATTAGTTATTTATAATAAAAAATATTATCTTATCTACAATACTCTTATTGATTATGTGAATTAGTTAAAATTACTGTTTGATGGAATATTTAACAGGTACAACTACTACAGGAATTACTTAAAATGAATAAATATAAGAGATAAAATAGATTGAAATCTAATATTTAGAACTAAATTAAAAGTTAAATCAACTCTACGGTACTTAATATAAAAGCTAGTTGACTAGTTTGGACATATTAAGAAAATTAATTAATTTAATTATTGGTAATAAATATATGTTTTTTTTTTAAAAATACCCTTACTTTGGTACATAGATGTTATGATTGACTGAATTATAATATATTATGATGATTGACTGATGTAGTTTTATATATAATTTATTAATTATTAATTACACATTGTGTTATAAATTTTTCGTATTTTGATGTATTGGTGATCTGTTGATTATTGCTGGATAGTTATTAATTATTATTGTCATTACAATGTTTGAGATACTTTTTTTTTTGGTTGAATATGAAAATATTGGGAAAACGTATGGTTCGGTTTCGTGATTTAAAGAATTGTTTCATTATTATGAGATTTCGATAATATTAAGCATTTGGGACCTGCTTATGAAAAAAGCATGACATTATATAATGTCATTATTTTTTTTAAATAATGCTTTTAGGATTGGGAATCCTAATCAGAGGGTTTGGGGCCTTTTGGCTTTTGTCGAAAAGCAAGGAGGAAACAAACAAGATCCCATAATTTGTTTATTAATTTAACATATGTGAAGGAAATTCTAATTCTTTTTTTCAACAAAAAACTAGTAATTTGCGAGTTTAACAGCATGAAGAATTACAGATAGACAGTAAAAATAGTAATTTGGTAAAGAAATTTTATATTATCGGCATTTTTATTGAGATTATAAGCAATTATCCGTAAAGACTAAAATTTATTAGCATTATTAATATATATTCCCTTCACGAATCATGATTTAGAACTAGATTATGATTTGAAAATCGTGTGATTAGGACTTAGGAGGCCGTTGATAGAGACGGATGATTAATTGTTTCCTTGTCAAGGATGGCGTTTGGCTTGCGCACTCGCCACAATTGTTATTATGTTTGACTTTTAATATTGAAGAATGACCATAATAAATAATCCTCCCGTTTTTAATATAGAATTTAATTATTAAGTTAATTTTGATCTTAAATATAAAATATATATATATTTTTTTAAATTATCCCTATGTATACTTTATCAATCATAATCAAATAAATAATAGAAGGAAAATATTAAGAAAGATAATTATGATACGTTAGAAAAAATTTGTTATATTTCTTATAATTAATTAACTAACTTACTTAATTTTCTTAATCTAATCAAATTAATTAAATAGATCTTATATTAAAGATAAAAAGAATATTAAATACTCCCCTTGCAGTCTTAAGTGTAACCGGAGGAGCACTAGAATCGATCTACATGATCTAAACGGCAACAAAGAGATTTTATGTTGTAGAAGCTTCGCTTTATTTCGCTTGTTTTGTTTGTATTTTCGGCCTTATAAAACAAGTGTGCGCGCGTGTTCATGATCCTAACATTTTCCAACTCGGATTTCATAAATTAAAAAAAATAGAGCATGACTAGTTAAATTTAAAAATTATTATACTTCTTACTACATCTATTCATCTTATAAGAATTAATAAAATTAGTTAAATTAGTTATCTGTAACAAATATATACTAATATTCTCAAGCTATTATTTTTCATATTGTAACCATCTCTCGTTAAAAATCTCCTTTAATATATATAATCAACCGAATTATTTTGAGAAAAAAATTATAAATTTAAAAGATAAAATATATTGTTATATTATATTTAGAATTAAAATGCCACCCTTAGCCAACTCGTACATTTATTCTAATCTTTAATATAAGAGCTAATTGATTAATTTGAGTAAATTGAGAAAGTTTGTTAAATTAGTTATTAGTAATAAATATGTGTTATCTTTCTTAAAATATCATTGCTAATCATATATATTAGCTAAAGCTACTATTTAATGAAGTATTTAGTATGTACAACTACTATAAGAATTACTTTTGAAAAATTGCATAAATATAAAAAATAATGTGAATTTGGATCTTATATGTAGGACCAAATTAAAAGTCACTTTTAATTTGGTCCTAAATATAAGACGTCAATCTACTTTACCTCTCATATTTATCTATTTTTTAAAATAATATCTATAATATTGTACATGTTAAATGTTTAGTCAAATAGTAATTTTAGCTAACACTACTACGTGATTAACAATGGTATTTTAAAGAAGATAATACCTAATTATTATAAATAACTAACTCAATAAACTTTCTTAAATTACTTAAATTAACCAATTAGTTCTTATATTAAAAATTAGAAATAGTATTAAGTATTAAAAATCAGATATACATGGTTTTTAGCTTCTCAAATCTCAATGACAACCAATTTACCCAATCTTTCTTAAAAGCGATTGCTTAATTCCACGCACTATATTTTGTAATATTTACACACACATAAATGTATGTGACACGCTTCATGATTTATCATCTGATCAAAATATGTGTTTGAAAACACATTTCACATTTCGCCAAAAAAAAAAAAACACATTTCACATAGTCAAAACCAAGTTTTGTCTAAAGCAGACCCTTTACTTCTTGGCAAAGATATTTCTACACGGATCCTCGATGCTACTCAAAACTTACATTTGAGTTTGACTTTTTGCTCAATGTCGGCTAAATGTGTTCTGTAGGTCGGTTCGTGTTTGACTCCGACCCAAATTATTGGGTTAGATTTGGCCTCATGCCGAAAACTTGCAAAATTATTAAAAATTAGGGAGGGCAGCGATATGATTGGGACCTGAACGAATACTAATGCAAAATAAAAAACTTTACAGTAAATCTTCCTATTTTATGATACTGTTAGTGTTTATTTGGAATCACAACATATTTTTTAAAAGCAGTTTTCCAATCGTGTTTTAAAAAAATGCGAGGTAAAATCATATAAATAAGTGCTTTTGGGGTATCAAATTGTAACTCCAAACAAGCATTTTAGTCCCGTTTGTTATAAAACATTAAAAATGAGGGCATTAATTGTGATTTTGAGATTTTTAAATATGTTAAAAAAATATGTAGTATGAATGATTGTTTGTTACTTGAAATATGACGAACTCATATATATGGGATAGAAAAATACCTATGGTGTTTTCTAATCCCATCTACATAGAATTGCCTAATTTTATAT